AAAAATTGGGAACAGACGGAAGGTTGCGAAGGTGTATCGCTGAAAATAATTATCTTGTCGCGTTAGTGGATTACCGCACAATTAATGAACGGGGCGACGTGACCTGCAAATCGTATATATGGTGTGTAAAACGTTACACATTTTTCTTCTGTACAATCTCAAGATACTCGGACCTGTGTTTTTTCTTCTTATAAAAGATTGTTTCGTTCAGAGCATCGAACGTAGCGCAAGACAAGGACGGGGAACCCCCAACTCACTCATTAATGTGTAATACGAACTAATATGTACACAGCCGTCCTGTTATATTCGGCTGCACGTTCAATAATTGTCTCTAATTAAATCGTCATTGACGGACACAGTTTGATCGGTTAATTTAAAAGCATTTGTGAACATACGCCGACATGCATACTTAGCATTACTTGTACCCGGGAAAAGAGTCGTAGCCCGACAAAATACGGACCGATATAGTTACGCGCTCATCATTAATTACACGTTCAATAACACACACAAACGAAATTATTACTGATGGGTGTGATCTAATTGTTTGTTCTAAAAGTACCTTCGAGCGTGATAAATCAGTTAATTGCACAACGACACACGTATGAATATTAGTCAATATGTGTGTGTGTGTGTGTGTGTGTGTGAGAGAATGCTCTGCACGTTGGATTCCCTTCACGAGCGAATTCTCCGCCGAATTGTCCAGCCTCGGTAATCTCATTCGAAAGTAGACGACTGGGTTGCACGAATTTTTTTCCCTCTATTATTAATTACGCTCGGCACTTTGCCAAACTCACTCACTCACTCACACACACACACACTCACTCTCTCTCTCTCTCTCTCTCTCTCTCTCTCTCTCTCTCTCTCTCTGTCTTTCTCTCACATACATACACACACAAAACGTGTGCGCGCGCACGGGTAAGACGAAAGTTGTTGGTATTTCGAATCTCTAATGCATGCCAAGGGAATGTAAGAAACGCTACGACTACTTCCGTCCGTCGTCGAGTTATCCCCGAGTTTCTCGATCATCCCTTCATAGAGCACAAGACGAGCAAGTTCGCAAAAATGATTCGCCCGCGTCGTCCCGACCTCGCAATGAGGTTACGAAGCTGCGCGTTTGAGCGATTAATCGGCCGTAATTAATAATTAAAATAATGAATGTCCCGTGTCAGTGTACGGAGGTACGGAGTGAGAACCGTCCGCGACTCAATTAGCGAATGAAACTCGTTCGGTTTACGGGACTTCGAACGGATCAACATTTTAATCTCGGCGCGAGATTAAAAGCAGGATGAAAGCGCGCGCGCAGCGGAACGTTAACGGGCGCGACGCTAAAAGGATTATTTTTTATAATTGATCACGGACATATGCAATTTCAATGGCGCGAATTAAACACGACCCCCTTGCCTTTCTCTTCCTCCTTCTCTCTTTTCCACCCCACGATAAAAACGCTCTAACGAAGAACGTTTCTCTGCTCAGACTGATCATGGTCCGTCGTAAAAGTTCGCAATGAAAATATTTATCGCCCTTCTGCTTCTCTCCTTCCCACCACCGCCCACGATATCGTTAAGAGACACAATTATCTTATTTTGCATCTTAACTTATCGAGCACGGCCGTAAGCTCGGCGAAATTATCGTTCCGATTTTAAACGCGACTCGTAAACCTTCCGACGATACTCATCCACGAAAGGACGAGAGAGAGAGAGAGAGAGAGAGAGAGAGAGAGAGAGAGAGAGAGGAGGGGAGGGGAAGAACGTTAAATAAATATATAAAATGTAATTGACATGTATAAAAATGTATGTATATATGTATATGTTTGTAATTGATTACCTCGTAAGCGATAAAACGAAATAGAACGAGTTAAAGTTGAGTATCGTATCTAACGTAACTCGCAATTTTAATTATAGAATCGCTAAAATGGATACCACGGTGTAATGTGCATTAGCGTATTACGTCCCAAGTAAATTACGGTATACGTTTTACGGCCGCGCTTCGGTATACGTTTAATTCGCACGAAAAAGGGAAAGGAGAAGGAAGAGAGTACTTCACTTTGACATTTAAACGCGCGCGGGCCGTGAATATTCGTAATCTAAATCGACGACTAACCACGAATTAGCACGTACAATTCATATTGACTTATTAATCTCGAGCATTGTGAAACACGACACGTCGTGTTATAAATGACGATGTAACACGCGATAACCTTCTCTCTAATTCCTCATTAACACTTGGCACGATACGTAATGTCAGCTTAACGTTAGTTTATTGACTTCGAAGTAAAGCTAGAATAAATTAATGTTATCGACTGCATTGGACGAGCCGCGATATTATTGTAATGTATCGGAAAATTTCCAAAAATTTTGCAAACTTTCTTCGCTGGTTGTTTCATAAAGCTCCTTTGCTCACAAGCTTAAAATAATTAAACCTATACAGAAACTACACGTCGAAAACACCGTTTTGCTCGCGCAAGAGGCGAGCGCTCAAACGGAATTGAATTTTTAATTTCGGGATTAGTTATCTCGAATAATTTAACGTTGAATATCGAAAGACGAGTGAAAGAAGAGCGATGTTCAACGATAAAATCTTCTGTGAGTTAATAGTTAATGTAAATTTGTCGGAGCATTATATATCGTGTATGGATAGAGAGAGCGCGTTACACATCAATAATTACAACAACGATATAGTCGCTTTATAAAGCCAATATCCGCGTGGAAGTACTCTGCGGAATATGAAGTCGCATATGCGTGAATTATCAATAGAAAAAATGGACGTGCGTGTAATCTGACTAACTATTCGACGAAATACATCGGCATGACAGGAATTTGCTCGACGACGCGTCGTTGATCTATACGACGCACGCGAATTGCCGATAAAAGTTGCGAACGCGCGTACACGAGTCATAGGTGCTATCAATCACCCAATAAACACCTGAACGCGAAAAAGCCGCTTCGAGACGTTAATTTGCGGGGCATCGCTAAAGTTTTCGTTAAACAATCGCGGCTGGGCCGCGCGACAAGATAAGGATTTACGTTCCGAGACACGTCCCATATGATCGGGTCATACCTGTGGATCGTCACTTTCGCGAGAGTCTCCGGCATCGTGGCCGCGTCTACGGGGGAGCAGCAGAGTCCTCGATCGGCAGAACGAGTCCTCCTCGCCATCACTCGCGAACTTAGCATTTGCACAGGAAAATCACACAACCGGCACACCGATCTCGCGCGCGCGACTATCGAACGATCGACACAACGTGTCAAGGACGTCCGCCGTCTCGAAGGTCACGGGAGGACCTTTCAGGGCGCGTGACGAGGACGAGTTAGGTCCTGTTTCCCTGACGACGCGTGTCGCCGTTGACCGATTTCCGGATTCCTCGCTCGATATCGCGACGCGATATCCGCGAATGCGTCGATCACCGGCCACCGCCACAAGTGGTTGCGACCTGCCACCACGGACGTGACACCTGATCGTGCCTGGTGAGCGAGCTCGCAGGACGAGTTCGCAGGATGTACGCGATCGACCGTCCAAGGAGGACGCCAGCGCTCCGTTCACTCGGATATCTCCAGCTAGCCAGCGAACTTTGATATGTCGATCGGAAGAGAGTCCACGACCTGATCAGCGCGTTATAATCGCCCTAATGGCCAAACTCGACGATGTCATTCTTCCGTAAGAAGCACCGCACACCCTTCTAACGGCGTGGCACGCCACCGACCAGCTCGTTGCTCATTTGATCGCCCCAGGATCGATCCTTCGATGCAAGTAAACAGACCAGGCAACAGCGAGACGATTGAGAGGCCGAGCGCGAATTAGGATTTGCCGCGCGACTTCAATTAAAACACGTAGGATCAGGTGGACTGTTCGCTCGCGACAGGTCCTCGTCTCCTCTCAAAAGGATCGCACACTCGGTGGAAGTTCGATCGTCGATCCACAAGGACGACGAGATAAACACTGTTCTCCAGGCGCGACGATAGACTTTCCGATGTCCTCGCCTCGACGGGCAGCCCCGCGGGACGTGTCCTCGTGCGAGAGCTACCTTGACTTCCTGCGTCCCGACGATGAGGAGGACACCCCGCGCACGAAGCGGAGCCGCGACGAGTGTGTACACGCACGCTCGTCCTTAGGCGAGGAGTACCTCACAAGGGCTGATTTTCCAGCCTATCGACTGCCATGCACCCGGTGTCACTCCGTAGGAACTAAGCCGGCCACGACGACGCCTGCGTTCTCGGCCGTCGCGACGCCGTCCGTCCGCGACGCCCACGTTCGATCGCGCATGACGCGACCGTGAGGGCGCGAACTCGTCACAAAATTCGACGTGTCTCGACGCGAAAAACGTCGCGTTTTCAACGGAGAGTGTTCGATCGCAGGAGTGCTCGTCGCGCATATGACGCTCTTCGCTCGAGCTTCGTTAAAATTCTCATTTGCATTGTCGTCGACGTAATCTGGCGCGATGGATCGATGGGATCGCATCAAACTTCGTTGAATGCGACTTTAGTTTATCAAATGGCGCAAAATTCAATTCGTCAAACGTATCGCGCGAGGTTTGGACAAGACAAACGCGTAAGGGAACTTTCGAGTCAGCGATAAAGAGAATAAAACAATCAGCACTCAAGAATGATAAGACATAAAAAATATTTATGACGTTCTCTGACAGATAAAAATAGGAATGACGGACTGAGTTTTGTCATTGATATCATTTCCGTATGTTTTATTTAAAATATTAATCGACGAAAGGAAAAGATAGTCGTCGCAAAACTAGCTCTCTAACGCGACGTTGCCGAGTGCATTAAAAATTCACAAAGTTCCAAGCCGCTCGTATTTTACATGCATCGTCGTACGAAAGCGTCTTTACTGTCAGAAGCGAGATAAACGCAAATGAAGAGTTAATTGGCACATGCTGAAATACGTCTCGATGTCATGGCTTACGAAAATAATATATTCACGTCGTGTCTATGTGTGCGTGAATAATAACCGTCATCTGTCGACAAAATTGTATTTTCTTGCTAATCACTCACCAGTCTGGGTGCTGCTGTCGAAGAAGGTGCTAGATGTCTCGACTGTCATCGTCGCGAAAGTGCCGTCTGTGATCTGAGCCGAGCTGTCCCTTCGACCGCGGTATCTTTGAACCTAAATGACAAAAAGCACACGCAAAATTATTTAGATTTACACGAGCGACAAAATGATTATCGTCGTGATAGAAAAGATCCGCGTTTTAATGAAGTTCTTAAAAATTAATTACTGTATTCTTATCTCGTCGATAGAATGGACAGACTCGAAATTGTGATTATAAAATCAGAATAGTAGCGTAGATGACCAGATAAATTTCTTTCCTTTCTAATTTTATTCTTTCCAAAATTAATACCGATGTACTTGATCGTATTCAGCAATTAGACACGGCTACGACTTTGTTAATGGGAATCATCAAGACGCACCGTGTCGTCGCTCTGAGAACTCTGTCGTCGAAAATTGCGGCATCGTATCATCTCCTCGGTGGTGCTCTGCCGTCGAAATCCGCGCGCTATCAGAATCTCCTCGGTGGTGGATTGCCGTCGTATTATCGGCGCATGCTGAATGCCGCTCGGTGCACGGGCGCAAGGACTAGGATCCCTGGACGAACATGAGGAACTGTCCGGTGACCTGTAATGCGAAGTTCAAGGCTCGATCATCCAAATTTCAATTTGAAATTGTGCTGCTTTAACATCGGACGTTTAGGATCTTTTAAATCTTCGCGAACTTTTAATTTCTGCTTGAATTTCTGCGATGCTTTGTGAGATTAGTTTTTAAGCCGAAAACAATTGTGCAAAGTTAAGTCGATAACAACTTCTCAGTCGACAAAACGACAGCAAACGTAGCACAGTGTTTGCGTCATTCGTGTTGAAAAATCAATGGATTTATGTTGCAGGTACCTCGGTGGCCGACCAGCCATGGAGGTGGATTGCCTCCTCAGTCGAGCTTTCCGTTGTCTGATAGGGCTGATATCTCTCTTATCGACATTCCTGTCGGGGCTCAGATGGCTCTTTGAATCGCGCCGCCGTGGGTAGGAAGCGGAATCCGGACTCAAAGAATCCCTCCGTGCTTTCCGACCTTCGAGTATGTCAACAAAATTAATGAATCTCATCGTCTACGAAACGACTGCGATTTCTTTATATAAAGCCTCGAGTGTTTCGTCCATTGAAGTACTCGCAAGATTTTTCTTTAACGTCAGAAACTTTAACACGCTTTAACACTTTAAAAAACGGCAAGCTATTCTTCATTACGAAACTAATGGAGCTCTAATTTAAATGATGTGTTTTCTGTTAATATTTGGAGTAGATAATAATGAGAGATAAATACATATTGAACATATAGAACCGTGACTTGGGCAGGAATTCCAGTCTAATTTCATTTATCATGCACGAAACAAAGCCGTAACAACAGTCGATACTTACCCCCATCGTCTGGGTCGGGTAATAGAGTTGGCTGGCTACCACGACGTCCTGTGGGCGGCATCGATTCGTCTATCGCTGCCTGCTGGCGTGTCAGTCTTGACAGTTTATTCGGCGAGACTTCTTTACCCTTGTAGTAGCACTATTGAAGAAATCGATGACAGTTATGATATGCGCCACTCTCGAGAAAAGTTAAAAGATTCTAGAAATGTATGAAAGACGGACTCTATCTCGTCGAATTGTATGAAAGAGCTGAGTAGTGGTACGATTCTCATCGCACGAGTGCACGAACATGACGTGCTCTTTCTTACATCGAGCTCCTCAGTCGTCGTTCTCGTAGAATCGAGAAGAGTATATCTGCAGGTTTACCTGCGTAGTCGAATCCCTTCGGGTGGAAAGCAACGGATGCGTAGGTGTGTTATTGACGTTCGGAGAGCCGACCGGACTGGAACTGCCGGAAGTCGAGGTGCCGGGAAGCGGGAGGCTGCTTCCGACCGTCGGTGAGACCGCCGGTGGTGTTACCGAGGACATGACAATAGTCGGCGGGTTCACGGGTACGTCCAGAGTGGCACATTTGCCTTCGACCATGGTCTTCGTGTCCACAGACAAAGTCGAAAAACTGGACACCGCCACCGAGGTGCTTACCGTTACCGTCGACATTTTCGAATCGGTCGTCGTGGCGACGACAGGTGTCTTACTGTCGATCATCAAAGATGCCGACGTCGTCACTGTCGCCTTCGTGTTGGTCATGAGGAGGCCCGGTGATTGAGTCTTTGTCTCGATACTGCTCGACCTGTCCATGGAGTTCCTCTGAGCTTCCAGATGTTCCCTGCCAAAGTAATTTAATTAGGAAGACGAAAATTTTATTTTGCTAATATGAGAGATTTAAGAAAAATACCCTTTCCACCCTGAACAACGTATTATTTAATACTATGGAACATATCGACATGTATAATTTTATATATTGGTTGGAAAAATCTTAACATTTTTTTAATATTACCAGGTTTTAACTGTAACGTGAAGATACTAAATGTAATAAATCTTGTCAACTTTTTAAATAACAATCAATATCTCGTAAAGTAATATGTAATGCAGGACATATCGAGGTGAAGAAAAGAGATAACGTCAAGTGATGCATTCTCATTATCTATACTGACCTGACCGCATTACTAGCCGCACTGTCTGTACTTGAAGCGCTCGGCCTCTGATCGTTCCTGTAATATTTCGTTGGCGTCATACCACCTCCATCGACCGATTGTTGAGATTGCCTACGCCTGTGATGACGACAGTTATGTTTACGCTCGCTACTTGTAGACTGTGCAGTGATCATCGAATCTCTCCTGGACCTGAGGCTCTCGCCCGAACCACGACGAGAATTTCTCGATTCGCCCGAGCCTGTAATGACGTGCTAATTAGCATGACTACACTCATCTCATTCAACGAATAATAACTGAATATATTTCTTTTCGCAATTTACCACCTTTATTCGCATTGAATTTTGCTGTTGAGAATTATATATATTCTTGAACATTTATATGAGATCTATGGAAAAATTTATGATATTCTCTGACATTTTGAAGAATCGGAAAGAGAATCAAAGAGAACTAATCAGAACTCTCGCGCTGGTAAAAAAACAGAAACTGTCGAATGCCACTTGATCACCAGTGCGAGGTCTGGTTTTCTGTTTTCTGCTTTTTTGCCAATATATAAATTTTACTTAAGAATATAACTTTAGAATGCATAAAAATTTAAGGACAGCCATTTCAAAGATTATATATGAAGTTACGTGATACATCGTCCTCATTTCCGAGAGGACTCAGCCTTGCCTATTATTTTCTCGCTTTGTCTTGCTTTCGCTTGGCCACAAAGAGAGACGCTAAGCTGGCACGTAATCAGCAACGTCAGGTGCCGTTTCATCCGTTGCGGAAAGCTTACATTCCGCATGTAAAATATATTAGCTTCCCACCGACTTGCCCGCCGCAAATATCGCGACTCGCAAAACGTCATTTTCGCTGAACCCGCGGAATCAATTCCGAGGCAAGCCCGAGGCAATCGCGAGCGACACCACGCTATTTTTAGAGTCGCATCTAGCCTGCCGCTGGAAGAACTTTCGCGTTGCTCCTCTCTCTCTCTCTCTCTCTCTCTCTCTCTCTCTCCCCCGGCAAAAGTTTTACCTCGTCGTGGCGTAGGCGAGATGACCGTGGGAGGTGGTTGCGGCTGTTGCTGCACATCCTTCTTGCTCCACAGCCTGGCGAGGTCGTTCTTGAAGTCACTGATGGCGGAGTCCCGTCTGGACTTGTTCGACACCTGGCTCCTGATGCCGCTGTCGACCGAGCTCTCTCGTCTCTTTCGCACACTCGCCAGGTGACTGGCGTCTGTGGTGGTTTGTCGCGACCATGGCAGCGACTTGGCAATGTCCGCCAAGGTTTCTCTGCGACAGAGTTTGTTACCACGTCCGCTTTTCCCGGAGGCACCGCCGCCGCTCCACTCGCGCAGGATGTCAGTCAGCTGAGCGAGGCTGGATCGTCGACGGCGTTGATTTGTCGGGGAGGACTCCTGGGTATCGTCCGGTGGCGAGATCGACGTGATCTGCGCCGCAGAGTCCCTTCTGCCGGTCCCTGAAGAAATATGCGTTTCTTTGCTTCTTTTCTCTCTTTTCTCTTACCGTAATTCTCGAGGGATCGTTATTTCTTCTTGATTCCTAAATGTCTCGTTATAGGAAAAATATTATTAATTTCTCATTCTTCGATTCTTTCTGAATGATACGTGATTATCGAAAAATTAATTTTTTATCTATACGCGCGCGATTGTCGTTCAACCAAAAAGAAACACTTAATATATTTTCCGTTTGATGAAATTTCCCGTTGAATTTTTGGATTTACTCTAGAATAATTTCGAATGATTCTGCTAGTGCGTATATTTCATATTACCTTCTCTCTTAAACGTATTTTGTTTAGAATGGTGGGAGAAAATGCATTTGGATTGTCTATTAAGCTCGGGCTTTAACGTCGTTGCGAATCGTAGCGGCGCGCGTTGCAATCCTCGCGGGAATAAATTCGAAGCACTTTCGCGCGAGAGAAGCACCGGATTTCCATAATATGCTCGCATGGGCGCGAAAAACGCTGGTTACGGCTCGAATGCGTGCCCGTGCATACCCAGTCGTTGCTTCAGAGTGGATTCCTCCACTTGTTCCCGCACGAGGTCGTCCCAGCCGTTGCCGCCCTGCCATATCAGCCCGACCTGATGACTCAGGATCGGCAGGTTGCACACGAAGCAGATCGCTGTCATGGTTCTGAAAAAAGGAAGCGCACGATCTCGACTTGAGCTGGCTGAGCGACGAGAGCGCAGAGACGAAGTGGCTTCGTCACTCGCGAGCGGAACGGAAGAACTCTCAACGGAAGAAGAAGGTGCATCTCTCAACGATAAAGTTACGTGAAACCAGGCCATGCCAACAGAGCGCTCAAAAGTGACAATTGATTTCGAAGTCGTGGTTTCTTCGCCGCCACCTTTCGCGAACGAAAACACTCAGCGCGATCGCGACGACGACGAGACGGTACGTCAACGCTTGTGGTGCCAAAAAATCCGAACAGCCGGAGGAGGCGCGCTGGATACTGCTATGTACAGGTGCGAGCCTCTTCCTGAATCTTCGTCGCCGCGAAACCACGCTTCGTCTACGGCCCACCTCTGTGGGTACGATCGAAAGAACTCAACGAGATATCCAAGATAATACAAACGTAGCTAAGTAGAACAACACTCGGACAAATGTACAATAGACACAATAACGCAGATGTAGTTACAAGCGAGGCTGGCGGTCGTTGTAAGCTCGGCCATGTCGACTTTTCAGAAAGATACGCGAGAATAATTCTTGCGTCCGAAACCGCGAAAGTTCTGTCGGTACGGACGAGAGTCGCGAGCGATTCCTGAACTGAATGTTAATTATCGACACGAAGACGAGAGCATATTTAGGTCCTGCGATGAAAATTGCGTATGAGAAGTTTCGCGAATAACTCGACTTTCGCGAATAAAAATTCATAGGTGTTGCGCGCGAACGTTTCAAGACACACGCATCATCGAAAATTGTCACGACTACGTGTCGCGCTCTCCACGCAACCCGACGAACACAAGTGAAATACAGTTGTTTACGCGTCACATTCACATAAATTAACATAAATTTAAATGTGGATAATACGGACCACAAGAACACATCGAGTGAACCGAGCAAGACTCATCCTAGCGTACGCAAAGCTCGAGATCGTCGAGCGCACACAAGTCGACGTCAGCCACCGAGTCTAGGAATGTTACCGCAACGTGTTTCGCGAGCGCCGATGAACGTCATTCCAAAAGCGTGGATGCATAAAGAAACTCGAGAGATATATAATATAATATAATATATATAGTATATATGTATTTATACAATTACTAGAGCGAGAGAGCCGCATGACTTTTCTCATATACAGCACATAATGAAAACTCTTTTTAAAAGGCGCATATCTGATTTGATGTTTCGACCTGTAATGTCGAAGTCTGGGGCTCTGCAGCGACATCGCATGGCAAGGGTTTGGCCGACCTGCAAAAGACACACACACACAAACTTGTTTTTCGTTTCTCCGTTAGAAGCGCTACCGGGTGCGATAGTAAAGTAGTTGATGTAGAGAAGCATCGCGCGGACTCGATGATGCTGTACCCTGAAAAGGCGCATGTGATACCTGAAGAGTGGTGGGAGTAATCGACGATCGCTTCTAATTACGAAAGTCGCGTTGCCGTTTTGCGCGTCGCCGTTTTCTTACACGGCGTATCGGAAATCGATGACGTCGCGAAAGAGACCGACTAATAGAGTATACAGACATGTGATATTGTCCGCAGTAATAATGCGTGGCGTTTCGCACATGTGAATTCGTGCACATACAATTGTTTCTTCAACGATTGGGGGAGGGGGGAAGGGCGGCTGGTTTATACGATACCTGATAAAATTGAGCGCGTTAACGCGGAACGTGCGCGATTTTAATTAACCGACGCGACTGGAGATATTATCGTAAACGCATTTACAAATATCTCCGTGTTACTCTGGACACGTATCCGACGTGCCGAGGCACATTCGATTTAATTCGCATCGGATACCCCGTGCATTAAGTGAACTGCATTTCCGTCAGATACGTGTAAACTTTAACGCCGTGGGATCCTCATCAAATATGCACTCACGTTCATAATCTTCGTATAAATTTACGCGAGAACGATCCCCGACGCAAGTTTCAACGTGTTAATAATATTCCAGGGACTGAGATGTCGCGCACCCGCCACGTGTCACGATAATATCACCTCGTTAAAACTTGACTATTGCGTGGCCCTGTGTTAAGAGAAATCGGCCAACTTCAATCCATTCGTATGCTAATACAGCCGGTCGTTAAGGGCGAAGCTTAACGCGCCTTGTGTAAGACAAATTAAGAGCTGTGATTCAATGGACGAGCCGTTGCGCGACACGGGGCGCAATTACAGCTTCGCCCCCGGTGTAGAACTCCGAGAGCAGTGGACGGAAAAACTACAACACGCCGGAAGCCGGAATCCGAAACAGGTAACAATTAATTAATCTCGCCGTCAAAGCCTCGGGGCTTACTTATGCACAAAGTGACCTAATTAACGATTCACTTGCCCCAATTGCTCCGCTGCGCCAAACAAACGGGCATCGATATCAAACTTGTGTCTGATAGGTTTGGTTTTACTCGCGGATCATTCAAAATAACACTGATTCGATATTTTTTCCATATTTAATTTGAATACCGATTTTATGTCTTCCGTACAATCATATTTTCATGTTTCTAAATTTTATATTTTTGTCAGGTTAATTTTACTTGCGAATTATTTAGATGACATGCTATATTTTATAGTTTATTATTTTCCTTCCATTCCGTGCTGTATAATATCGATGTTATATTTTATATTTCTATTTCCGTGTCTCTCTCTCCCTCTATATATATAAATATTTCGTGTTTACGGGCTTCACATTTTTTAATTAATTTTGCTTGCGAATTATTCGGTTAAAACATGAAGTTTCGCGATTTTAATATCCCCTTTTCCATACTCGCAAACTGAATGCGGACTTTATATTTGTACAAGTTTAATTCAATGCTTTAGAATGATGTTAACAATGTTAATTATTAAGAAACGAACGGTTAGTCAAGTGATTCTAAAGTCTTTTTCTTGAGAAAATGCTAATCTTAAATCCGTCAAAGAATATATAATTAAATTCATAGACTGTGGGACCTCCGTGTTTATTCGCACTTTAAAAGTCGATGAATTTTAAATATGATGAGGCACCTTTCCACCTTAATGTCGCACTTTTATTCTTATCGACGCTTTCGTTCAATACCTGACAACAGTTGTTGCTCAAAGGGAAAGCTCCCGACAGCATCTGCGATCCGCGAAAATTTCTCGAATGCTCTACATAACACGACGCGACATTCTCGACTAATGCGTGCGTCAGGGGTATCTTAAAAATCCTGAAAAAGGTTGATACGAGACAAAGGAAACGTTTGACGCCGTGAGTTCTGACGAAAAAGTTTATTTTGTCGGACATGAGACAAGTCTATTTTTATTCCCACACGGGAATTCACAGTTTCGGGGCATTACGTTCGTCAAATAATAAATTTAACACATATATTAAAAATACTAGTATATAAAAATAATAGTATACGTATGTAAGAAAATTATATTATCACCATGGGAGACGTGTGTGTGTCGATCGATAGCGTGAAATAGGAGTTTCATTTCTACTAATTTAACAGATCGCGCTTGAACGAAACGAACGAGCGACCGTTCGTTCTCGACGATCTCGCTGAAAATGTACCTCTTTAAATAGAAAAGAGTGGGTTCCCTGATACGGTTTTCCCCAATAAACACAATTTCTACTTTACTAACGCCACGCGAAATCGCGCAAGAGTGCAAATGCGTGCGGGCACATGCAGATTACGAATTTTTATTCGCATCCGCGTAAAAGCCACGTAGAAAGTTGCGGTTCGGTGAAACGAGAAAAACCAGAGGATAATATAAATGTGGCGCCGTAAAGAATGCAAAAAGGAAAAGTGTCGAGAATATGGAAATCTTCATAATTAATCCTAAACTTTGATAATTATAATTAAATCGCGGTTACGAAAGCGAATTTCTACACGCAAGTTGTTCAGCTGATTTCACTCGTTTCCTCCGTGAACCTCTCGACCACACTAAGCATCGTTAATGGACTATCTAATGTCACGATGTGACCGCCGCGAATGAATCGTTATGATTAAATATGAGATCGTGGAAGCAGATATCTGGAAGCGCGCGTGCCGAATCAGCCGGACAGGTCACACCGCATCGCCATAATGCGTGGTTTAACGTCACATTGTGGCTCGTATTATCGACCGGCAAAATGCCCATGCGTCATTAATACGACAGCTTTGACATTTCCTGTTTCAACATATATTGTGCGATGTAATGATGTCGACTGCAAGAGCCTTGTGGAAAATGATCCGCATTATGCGGCCATAGGACGCGAAGCGCACAATCGTTTTCAGTATCAAAACAAATTCTCTCTTGATTTACATCAGGGCTATGTATTTAATCTGGCTTCAAATGCCGCGCTCTTTCTCAATCGAAAAAAAACTGAAAGCTGTTCACAGACCTAATTCCTCTTTCATTCCAATTAGCAGGAAGAAGGCGGATTATTTTAAATCTGTGCGAACGAGATTAAAATTATTTCGAATTCTGCACGATTCTGTTCGTAGTGATTCTTTGCGCATCGCGACCCGTCGATTGTTTCATTATTCGCGCGCGCGCGTAATCATTCTTACGTCCCAATTGTGCGGAATGTCTGTAACGCGACGCGACTTGAATTAGTCGTGCAGGCGTCATGTTAACATTGAAATTATGAACGACGGTGGATATCCCCGCGAGATTATGTTCGCTCTTGAGTTTAATTTTCACGCAACACGACGCGAGCGTGTAATTCGAGGCATTGTAACCGGAAACTGACGCATAGAGTGGGAAGCGCAAGAAATGCCGCTACATTTTTCCAAAATTCGTAGGAGGATGCTACAAGAAAATCGCAATGGGAGGAAGTAGAAGAGAATAAAGTTGATTTTGAGACCCTGGAGTTTAAAACCTCTTAGAATGTATAGTAAATTGAATGGTGTGTGGCTGATTGCATACAACAAATTACGAGAGTATACAATAAATTAACAGAAATTACGAGAGGCAGGAGTAACAGATCTCTAATGCATAGAGAAGTATTAGAAAATAAGATCTACATACTAAGAAAGA